TGTAACTTCGAACAGTCACTAAGCGAACTGTTGTAAGTCGAGGACTACCTGTTACTTTATCTCTTTTTTTCTTTTTTTCTTTTTTTTTTGCTCATCAAATTTTTGACACCTTGCTAGGCGACTGGTGGTACTCAGATATTGCCATATCCTAAAAGTGGTACAATGGGTGAAAAGGTTGAAAATCCCTGACCTATGCCTAGTTCAAAATATGGTAATCATATTTTGAACTGCTAATCAGAAGACCGTTGAGCTCCAAGTGGGCAAGTGGTCTTGTTTGGTATAAAATAATTCCTTCTGTTGCTATAGTGAGCAAGTCACACAGCCAGAAAAGCTGCCTGTCCTCATATAACGTTTCCTATTCCCTAATATCACGGAGACTAGATATACAGGATTACCTATAAAATGGATTCATTTGGTAAATTCGAGCCGTGGTCTTTTCAGTGGTGGCCACTCCTTTATGTAAATTTTTCAGTGCACATAGATAAGATCACATCAGGTCTGGTTATAAATGGGTAGAACTCCATTTCTTTGTTTATTATTTCCATTTAAGATACTTTCATTTAATGAGCTTGAATTACCATACATTTCATTTCAACAGTCTTGAGTTAATACCAAAAGTAATTGTTAAACAATTGACTGGCAAGGGAAGTTGAGAGTAGGATTAGTTAGTCCTGAGAAAGAAAGCATGAGAAAGAAAATTAAAATAACTTGCCTTGATTCTGTTTGGTATAAGAGGGGACTAAGGGAGACAGACACAGGTGGGCTTTCAAGATTTCTGTTATCATACCTTACAACTATAAAATAGCAATCCTGGAATCCTTGAGGTATCTGTTTCCTGACCTGACCTACTTCAAAGGGTTGATGGTGCACATGAGATGGTGACTTGTTGCTATCTGCATACTGAGCACATTTGTAAAATGTTAGGTGCAGGTCATAATTTTCTTTTCCTTTCCCTTTAGAATACATAACTAAATATGGCAACAATCCTGTCTGGTTTGGATACAGGCGTAATTTCAAAGGTCAGGTTCCACCACAGAAAACCCGGAAGATGTGCATTGTGAGTACATTCTGTGTATGTAGGTTTATGAACCCGGAGAACTGAGCATAGTATTTGCTAATGTTGCAAAAATCATGCTTACAGCATTTTCTCTTCTTTCTTTCCTTCCTTTCTTTTTCTTTCTTTCCTCTTCGTCTCTCTCCTTTCTCTCTCTCTCTTTCTTTCTTTCTTTCTTTCTTTCTTTCTTTCTTTCTTTCTTTCTTTCTTTCTTTCTTTCTTTCTTTCTTTCTTTCTTTCTTTCTTTCTCTTTCTTTCTTTCTTTCTTTCTTTCTTTCTTTCTTTCTTTCTTTCTTTCTTTCTTTCTTTCTTTCTTTCTTTTTCTTTCAATAACTCAAGGTGGTGAATTCCTATTTTCTCCAAAGCAATAATCCTTTGAGGTTGGTTGGGCCGATAGCTGGCTTTTATGCCTAAGGCAGGACTAGAACGTACGGTGTCCTGGGTTTCTAGCCTGATGCTTTCAACAAACTGGCTCTCTTTAATTTGTTAGGTAGTGTAAAAAAAACCATAAAAATTGTACGGACACTTGGATAAGATGCAGCATATCTGTGATTTGTACTTGGAGGGATTTCAGGCTTAAGGGATCAGTTGCGTGTTATTTTTATTAACTGTATGCAGTAGAACATGGTTTGCTCCTGGAATGAACCAGGATTTTTCTCTTTGAATTAGCTAATCTGAGTTTTGGGGAAGGGAGGGGCAGATTCTTACTCTAAACATTGTAGGAGCTCCTAAGAGCATTGAGTTCAAATTCCTCCTCAGTGTGGGAATCCTAATTAATTCATCCTGTCTGGTTTCTGCTTGAACCTATCAGGACAAATCCATGGGGAGGCCAATTATTGTCAAGCCAATTACTTGATGCTTCAGTGAGACGTGCCCCAAAATGCAGAATTATGGATTTGTTGTTTATAGTAAGGACAAACAACAAGTCCATAATTCTGCATTCTGGGACAAGGGGGATCAGTCTTCATCTTAGATTATGTGATATATATAGTACAGTATTTTAAAATTTTCACCTTGGTGTCTTCTAGGCTAAACGTTTACAGTTCCTTCCATTTCTGCTCCTGAGACCATTCCCAGTTTCCTGCTGACCCTTGAACTTGCTCTAGGTGTTTAAACGTTTCTTAAGAGTAGGTGCCTAGCATCAGGCACATTATTTTAAGTAATCTGTGATGAACAGGACATTTATAGCATTTTCTTCTCTCAATTTTTTTACACAATAAATTGTTTTCTTCTGTACTTACAGAGAAGAGGTCATGTTTGTGGGAATCCCTGTCCCATCTGTAGAGATCAACATCTTTTTTTGGATTATAGGGTAAGAGTTGTGGGATTTTTTTTTCTTATATTTTTGTTTAAATATACCGAAATTACCTGAGCAGAGATGTGAACTTGTTCCATAGATTAAACGTAGATGTTAAGGATGTTACAAATAATATACACAATATAAAATGTAGACAGTTCTGGAGCAGCTGGACATAAAAACTATAAGGGCAGTATTGAAATGTTAATGGAAACAATTGCCATAGCAGTACAAGCTAATTGGGTGAACTTTTAACGGGAAGTTTGAAAGACCGATGCCAGTGCAGAAACAATTCTGGTCTATCTTGCCACCAGTTGTATTCGGGCAGCAACAAAACAGTTAGGAATTTAATGAATAAAAACAGTTGCAGTCGTCGTATAAGCCATGTTTCCTTTTCTAACTGATGAGTAAAATTGGGCATGCCCTTTCATCTTACAGAATGTGAAGCTTCTTGAGCAGTTTATCTGCCCCCACTCAAATATCATCCTTGATCCATCCCGTACAGGTAAAGCAGCTATTGCAGGGGTCTGCAACCTTAAACACTCAAAGAGCCACTTGGACCGGTTTCCCAGAGAAAAGAAAACACTTGGAGCCGCAAAACTTGTGCGCGCACGCAAGGGGTGGGGACCTTGATTGAAGAGTTTAATTAAAAAGAAATAGAGGCTGCTGTGCATGAGTTCTCTCTCTCTCTCTCTCTCTCTCTCTCTNCCCCCCTTCATCTCTCTCACTTGATTTGTGTAACTATTCTTGTTAATTCTGCTCTCTCCCTACTCCATACACAATGTTATTGCTGACCAGATTTGCATTCATTTGCAGCAACCACAGTATTTTCCAAAACCTTATTTTAGACAATGTCACAGTTGGCTTGCTGCTCTTCAGGCAAGATGCCGGGGCTTTGGAGTGACAGCATTTTAGTACAACATCTGAGGACCTAAGTTCAAAACCACCGGACATGTGTTACACACAATCAAGTCCCTGGATACAAATCAGTCTAGAATTTACACGGTACTTATGTACTGTAACCTTTTGAACATATAATGTACTTGTCCTGTTGATTTGAGCAGGTGTGCACAAAGCAGGCTAGACTGAGAGGCCAGGGATTTATCAGCAGCAGTACAGGAAGTTGCTGAGTTGTTGTTGCTAAATGAGGACTAACTGTATTTCAGGTACAGTTGTTTTTTGTTTTGCCTGCCGTAATGATCTCCTATTAAGTCTTGGAAACACATTTTCTCTTGCTTCATAGGCCTGTGTGTGAATAGGTATAAGGCGCTAGTCAAAGCCGTTGATCAAGCTCAAGACAGTGGTGAGTAGCACAAATTGGGACTGGAAAATAAGGCAGAGTTCAGTGGAAGGTGGCAAGTGCTTGTTTTGGAGTGTTTAGAGCATCAGGGGTGAGTATGGGGGTGGCTCACAGAAGGCTTGCACACCCATTTTTACTATTTTACTTTCACCAGACCATTTGCCATTTTGCTGCCAAATTTCAGCAGCGTGGTCTTGGGAGTGCTTTGGAGGTTATAGATAGGATGCTGCCTGCTTTCCCCCACCCATATGAGCCATACGTTATCTACCCTATGCCATGGTTTATAAGCTCACTCAAGTCATAAGATATGCTAAGCCAGGCCCCTCCCCCAATCTTCTGTTAGATAGAAGGTGTGAACCAGATCAATCATTGTCTTCTTTCTGAAATGTTTTCTCTTGTGCCTCCTTTGTTAGGACTTCTAACAGTTAGCACTCCCTTGATCTCCTTCCAACATGTGGATTGGAGCAACCAACATCCAGCTGTTTCCAAGACCCCTCCATCCCCAGCTCTGTGTAGCAAGACATCATGGTATCCTTGGTATGATTGGCAACAGCCTCCCGAGAAAAAAATTAAACTCTTCAGGAGGATTTACAAGGATTATCTGAAAGAAGAGAGCAACCTTTCATAAACCAAGCAAAAAAAAAAAAGTAATTATAACATTCCCAGTGAAGCCTGTAATTGATCCATAAAAATCCTCTGAAGTATATAGTTCAGCTGTTAGAGGGCTGCTGTCTATTATTTCCTCCAGAAGGAACTTCCAGTGTCAGTAAATTGAATGGGGTTATTGATGATTCTGGTGATTGAACTTTGCTGGAAACACTTGACTGAATGGGGCAGGTGGAGGAGGGAGTGTAGGGCAACGGTAAAACAAAAAAAATTCCATTGAAAAGCTATGTGACGTGTGATGGGATCTTTATTTTACAATAAATCATGGTTTTGTTAAATAGACTGTTGGCTACATTCATACAAACCCTAAACAGGTTTGCTCACACCATACTATGCTTAGGACAGGGGTCTCCAAATTAGAGACAATACAGAGCTTTCAAGATAACTTTCTGGGNCCCCCCCCTCCCCCGCCGCCGCCTGCTAACTGCCTTCGAAGCCCCACTGTAACACGTGAACGTGAGCGCGCGCGCGCCCCCTCCAGGCGAGGCGGAGAGGGCGCGCTCCCCGGAGCGAGCCTGTTGCTAGGCCAGTTTGGCGGCCCGGTTGCTAAAGGCGGAGCCGAGCGCGGGACGTCGCTCCGAGACGGCAGGGGCCTGCGTTGTTAGGCGGAAGTCCGGGCAACAACACCCCCCCCCACCCCGCCCCCGCCATAGAAGAAAGAAAGGGACCCGGATGCCGAAAGCATGGAGTTCCCTTTCGACGTGGACCTGCTCTTCGGCGAGCGGATCGCGACGGTGGACCAGCGCTTGCAGCCGTCGGGCAGAAAGGGAGCCGGGCTCGGCGCGTCTCGCAGGTATTCAGATTGGCGGCAAGGCAGCCTCCGAGAACGCTTTGCATTCCTGAGCATTGTCCCGGGGCATCATGGGAAGCCCCGTCTGTCCTGTCTCGCCGGCGCGCGTGGCACGCCTTCCTCCGCTCTCCCCGGCGGTCTCGAGCCGGGCCGGGCGCACAAAGAGCCCGGGCAGCAGCTGGGTCGGCCTTCGGAGGCCGGGGGGGGGGAGGCGAGCGGGGGGGACGCTCTGCGGCCGCCACTCATTAAACAGGCCACTGAAGGCAGTTTCGGGTTCAGGAGGGCAAGGGAGGGTCATAGACTGGAACATAAGAAATTGGGGGGAACACACACACACACACACACACACACACACACACACACACACACACACACACACACACACGGAGAGAGAGAGAGAACACAGCGATCTGTTGTAGAGCAAAGGTTAAACTGGCTAAACGTAGAGCTAGCTCATCAGTGGAAAAGTAGATGGATGGAAAGGGGAGTGGGTGGGTGCATTATGTTGGGGTCTCATGGCGATATCTCCCCCACCCCCGGTATCCTTCCGGTGCTCCGAAGCACCCATAGAAAAATAGAGATGCAGGAATGAAAGAGTGGGGCGGAAAATAAAGGATTTGGAACTGTCTCCACACTTGTGTTTTTTTTATTATTATTATTATTATTATTATTATTATTATTATTATTATTATTATTTTATTGAAAAATTTATAAAATTTTACAATATAAATCCCCCCCTTCCCCAAACCCACCCTCCTCCCTCCCCCCTCACTTCCCAGAGCCAATCACAGGGTTAACAATAACACAATCATACTCTAAATAACATTAATCAACTATTAAAATGACATATCTATAACCTCCTTTAACTCTCTCTTAAGCAAATATACAGTTATTAAAAACAATAATAACATCACTTTAATAATTAAAAAATAGTACTAAATACACTATTCTAACCTTTATACAACAATAATACTCTAAAATTCACTCAAAAACCAAATGATATTTTTTGGTCCCATATGTACGCTCAATATAATCTATCCATCTTCTCCAAACCGAAATATATCTTTCTTGTGAATAGTCCTTCACATAAGCGGAAATCTTGGCCATTTCTGCTAAATTCGAGACTTTAAGTGACCATTCTTCTATAGTGGGCAAACGGTCCGTACTTGTGTTTTTATTATTGATTGATTGATTCTGCACCATCAAAAGGATGAGTCTTTGAGGACCACGTTGGTGTTGTGTGTTTGCCTTGGAGGCTTTGTTGATTCCTGGCCTTTGCCTGGATAAGTCCCTGCAGTTTTCTCAGCAGGATGCCAGAAGGGGTTTGCCATTGCTGCCTTCTTCCTAGGGTTGAGAGAAAGCGACTGGCTCAAGGGCACCTGGCTGGCTTTGTTCCTCAGGTGGAAGTAGAACTCACAGGCTTCTGGATTCTAGACTGATGTCTTAACTGCTACACCCACTAAGGACTACATAGATAGGTCTATTTCACACCTTATAGATACTCCCAGGGCTTTTTTTGTCATAGATCGCCCAGAACGGAGTTCCGGCACCTTTTTTGAATGGAACCTTGTAGGGTAGGCAAGGCGGGTTGTATGACATGTGTGAGGTCCGGCACCTTTTTTTTTTTTTTTATACAAAAAAAGCACTGGATACTCCTATGTCAGTGGTGGCGAACCTATGGCACGCATGCCAGAGGCGGCACTCAGAGCCCTCTCTGTGGGCACGCACGCCATGCTCCGGAGATGGCAACCATCCCTCTTCAACCAGCCGCCCACTAACTCGCGGAGGTCCCACATGGCTGGATGCATCCTAGCACCCATGCGCTCGCTGGCCTCTGTGTGCAGGGGCCGATAGTGTCAGGCAGCAGCCGCCCCGGCCCCTGCCTCACCTTGCCCTGTGACAGTGGCACCCCCGCCTTGCCTTGCCTAGCCTCACCCCGCAGGACGAGCCTCCTGCCCACTGCCCCACCTGCCAGAGACCCCCTGGATCTCCCCCAACCCTGCTTGGCCCCCACAGGCGTCCCTCCCCACGAGCAACATTGAGGTGATCACACCACCTTGGCCATACCCACCCAGTCTGCCATGACCCCACAGCCACGCCCATCCAGTGGGCCACAGTCCACCTGGCACCCGGCGATAAATAAGTTGGTTTGGGGTTGCAGTTTGGGCACTCGGTCTCTAAAAGGTTCGCCATCAGTCCTATGTCTTAAACCTCCAGCTCAACTTTAACTTGATATGTTGTATCTTTAAAACTAAGCTAGAACCTCCTCCTCTTCCACCCCAGCAAAATGTTGCACAAGGTAAAGTAAGTATGTTTGCAGTTCAATGCTGCTGGTAAAGGAAGAAGGATTCAGAGGTCAAAATCCCCTTTTCCACCAGTCTTAATAAGAAATTAACTTGCTTGGGTTTTTTGGTTATGTATCTATATCTTTTATTTATTTATTTATTTATTTATTTATTAAATTTATATACCGCCCTATCTCCCTTGCGGGACTCAGGGCGGTGAACAGGCGATACTAAAAACCACGGAATAAATAGTTTGTTTTAAAATCGAATTAAATAACAGGCCTGTTCTAAAAACACACCCGTAAAAAACCCCCCACTGAAACATAATCAAGCTACGCCAGGCCGGCCGCACGGAATAGATGGGCCTTCAGGGCTCGGCGAAAAAGGCGCAGGTCCACAACTGTACGTAGGTCGGAGGGTAGGTCATTCCAGAGGGCAGGAGCTGCCACAGAGAAGGCTCTCCCCCTGGGGGTCGCCAGCCGGCATTGTCTGGCCGACGGCACTCTAAGGAGGCCCTCTCTATGGGAGCGGACTGGCTGAAGGGAGGTGTTTTTGTATATGAATTCTGGTTTGCTGTGGCACATAAACTCAGCTCATGTGTCAGATAGGACAATCACTTTAAGCCATCTTGTGTTGAATCCAAAAGTGCCACACACACACACACTGTATACAGTATATAGAAATCAGTCCTGGATTGTATTGTATCTCTGATGCATCAAATTATCCATTTTTTAAAAAAGTGGACAATTATTGTGTTCTTGTTTTATTTTTGCCTTTCCGATTGTTACTCCGTGTTTTGTTTTACCAGAGCTGATATGCAGCAACAACTCATGAAGATCATAGATGAGATGGGCAAAGCCTCTGCCAAGGTAGGTTAGTGTTTGTTAAAGACTCAATTATACCTTTGGAAGAAGTAGAGATAGCGGCAAACTATTGGGCTGAATTTTCTAAATTAGCTCACTGATTGAGCTAGAGTACAAATCCAATCAAACTTTAGAATCAAGGAGGTGCTATTGCTTTGCCAAATGTGATCCTGCTCATCTGGTCCAAACATTAAGAGACAATTAACACCCACATCCTTTTGAACTAGGAAGCTGCCACATCTGGATCCAAAAACAGCTTAAGAAATAGGCAGGCTTCAGGATTTTTTATTTCCCAAAGTTAGCATTTTTTCCATGTGCTCAAGCCCAATTTCTTTTTTCCAGTTGAGATGACATTTTTTCCTATATTTCCTTAATGACTTGTTTCCTTTTTATCTAGGATTTCTGGATTTTTATTTTCTCTACTTACAGGCCTCTTAATCTTTAGTTAGAGCAGTTTCAGCCTAGTTTCACATACAGGAAATCCTTGACTTATGAGCACAATTGAGCCCAAAATTTATATTGCTGAGACAGTTCTTAAGTAAGTTTTGTCCCATTTTATGATCTTTCTTGTCATAGTTGTTAAGTGAATCACTGCAGTTGTTAAGTTAATATCACGGTTGTTAAGTAAATCTGGCTTCCCCATTGACTTTGCTTGTCAGAAGGTTGCAGAAAGTGATCCCATGATCCCATGACACTGCAACCATCATAAAGATGGACTAGTTGCCAAGCATCCAAATTCTGATCCTGTGACCATGGGGATGCAATGGTCGTAAGTCACTTTTTTCATTGCCATTGTAACTGAACAGTCACTAAATGAATGGCTGCAAGTTGAGGGCTATCTGCATTCCTCTTGGTTCAGGGTGCTGTGATTGGTGTATAGGTCCCATGATACGCAGGCTAAATGAGGAGATGAGGAATATGGGAGGCAAAGAGTATATTCTTCTCTCTAAGCATTATTTCAGATGCCCATCATATAGTTGCATCTTCTCTTCCATCCTACCCTCTTCCATCATTCTGACCAAAACTCAAATCTTGATTTCAGGCCCAGAATCTGCCAGCTCCGATTACCAGTGCCTCACGGATGCAAACCAACTGCCATGTGCTCTACATCCTGAAAGACAGTGAAGCAAAAATGTGAGTGTCATAGCAAAAAGAATTTGGATTCTATATAGCAGGAGTCTTCAAACTTGGGCTTTTTATGACTTGTGGACTTCAACTCCCAGAATTCCTCAGCCAGGCATGCTGGCTGAGGAATTCTGGGAGTTGAAGTCCACAAGTCATAAAAGGGTCAAGTTTGAAGACCCCTACTATATACAGTCTGCCTGTTTGGAAGTAACGTTTGCTTAGTTCGGAAGGATTGATTTCCAGATAAATATATAGAGCAGAGCTTTTTAAATTGTGGGTCAGCATAAGCAACTTTGAGTAGTGAAACAAGTTTTTTTGAGAAAGTTTTGTCAGGCTTATGAAGACAAAATGGGAATGATGTCAAAACTCACTCTTGTTTTGGCTCATTTTGCTTGTAGAAGCTCACAGTTGGTAGAATCCTCTTTGGTATGTAGCTTAAATCCACATGAATTCATTTATCATTTTAAAGGTGCAAGGTACTACAAGATGCCTTGGCATATAGAGTTGCATGGCAGCCAAAGGATACTTTTGTGACGGGAGCATCTGCTATATATCTAATCTTAATTTCTTGAATATTTTTGTCATCACTAGAATGAAGCATGATATTGCAAAGAATACTCCTGTGCAGAGTTGCATTGCACCTTCTCCAAAAAAATTTGTTCAGCTGCATTGGTACTCCCTATGTCAATGCCCATTGCAGTATCATGCTTTACCCTAGCTATATGCCAAAATGGTTTTGACAAAGTGGTGTTGTCACAATCCTTTGTGTTAGGATCAATCTTTGGTCAAGTTTAATCTAAATTTAGCAGATCTAGATAGATATTCTACAGGATATTTGCTGAATATTTACCGCTTTTAATCTTTCTCTGAAGAAAATCTCACTTTTTTGTAAGATGGGCACCTATATAAATTTGATCGATAAATACATAAAATAAAGCTTTCTGACTTTTTTTTTTTTTTACTGATTTCAGGACTGGGAAAGGGATTATAATTGGCTTCCTCAAAGTTGGTTACAAAAAACTCTTTGTATTGGTAAGTACACCAGAAAAAAAATCACCCTTGATACATGGAATGTTTGCCACTAGTAGAAAAGGATGCTTGGTTCCCGAACAGGATCAGTGCAAGTTCTGATTGGGAAGTTAAACTAGTAGATCTCCAAGATCCCTTCCATCCTTATGATCCAAGAAGTTTTAAATTATACTGGTATATTTCCACACTGGTGTATTTGAGGCGTACTCTCAAAGCATAAAATCTCTATTTGTTTGACACCCCTGGTTTATGGGCTTGTTGCAGTTCATTCACTGAGCCATTGCTTCCTGTTATGCTTAAACTAATTCCAACAATAAAAAAAAAATCAAATAATGTATCTTGGTGAATACTATAGTGTTTGTTTGAAATCAGTGAAGAACAGCTGAAATGCTTTTTAAAAAATGAATCTTACAGTAGTATGTTATGCAGTCATTCTTGTACTGATTTGGCTGCAGTTACTGTGTTTGCTTTAACTTGAGGCACAGAAGGTGAAATAATCCTTTTCTTGTTTGCAGAATAAATCCCTCCCCTCCCTTTAACAATCTGCTATTTGTGCAAAATAAAAAATTTCATGAGTTGAACATACTATTCGCTTTTGACCGAGGCTTCCACAATTTGTATCCTGAGGGTTCTTCATCTTCAGATTTTTGCACTATATCAGTGATGGCGAACCTTTTAGAGACCGAGTGCCCAAACTGCAACCCAAAACCCACTTATGCATCGTCGGGTGCCATGTGGGTATGGCCCATTGGGTGGGCGTGGCTGCGGTGGTAACAGTAGTGAGTGGGACTAAAAAGTTCAATCAATCAATTCCAACTTTGCAAGATTTTTTTTTTTCTGTAAAAAGTTGAAACTGACTGATTGATTGAACCTTTTTTTTTGTACACGGCGGCGGAGGCCTAAAGCAAAAAGGTTTTATAAAACCCAGCTGAAGGCCTAGGACTGGGGCAACGGCGCGCATGCCCACAGAGAGGACTCTGCGTGCCACTTGTGGCACGAGTGCCATAGGTTCGCCATCACTGCACTATATTCTGCTTACCATAGCTGCAATGGATTATTAAAATATAAATTAAGCTGCTTTATTTCAGTATTTGGAAATAAAGTACTATTGTCCTTGGTTTTATTATATCTCTGTTTGTGGTATTATCTGTGTTTTTAGAAAGGGTAAACTTACTAATGCCCAGGTGCCAAAAATTATTAAGAATATTCCTAAGAAAAAGCCTTTGCGAGGGCAGATCCAATGACTCTGGGAAACTCTTAAGGACTGGTGAGTTGAAGGAGAATAAAATTGCAGCTCACCAGGCCTAATGCTCTGGAACGCCAACCAGCATGTAAATTACTGGTTCGAGCAAACAGTCCAAAGATTGGGATTCAAACCTGGGGTTCTTTTGAAAAGCGCAGGAAAAGTTAGCATGCAGCAAAATGCCCTGTTCAGAGACATCTGAGCTGTTTTAACATAGAAGCCTCTCTGTTTTTTTGCAGGACCGTCAAGGGGCCCACAATGAAGTGGAACCTCTGTGCGTGCTGGATTTCTACATTCACGAGTCTCTTCAACGGCACGGCTACGGCAAGGAGCTCTTCCATTACATGCTGCAGGTGCAGCCTTCTTTTTCGCAGTTGCGTAATCCAAGAAATGATTTTCCTAACTTGGATTAAGCCACTGTATTTCATCGTTACCACTTGCTTCATAGAAAAGGCAAAACCACCCCATAGCAATTTAAACCTGCAGGATAGAGGCATGGACGTAGAGCTGTCACGATCCCGGAAGGATTGTGGAAGGATTTCTAAAATGCTAAAGCTCTGTCAAACAAGAATTAATGCAACTCCAGTAACATATCCCTTAGCTTGCTGCCTTCCAGATCTGTAGGAAATACCCATCTCGTAATTCATATGATGGCTGGGAATTTGGGGAGTTGTCGTTCCAGTGTATCTGGAAGTCCCAAATTTGGGAGAGACTCTTTAACAGGAAATGAATCCTTCAATTAGCCAGGTTGAAGGACATGGGACATGTGCAGCACATGGACTCGGTTTTGAGTAAAAGCTTGCTTCATAGCGTAGCTCTTTTAGGCAAGAGGCATTTTCACTATTCTGTAATGGCTACTATAATATACTTTTTACTTTTATTTGGGAAATTGATTTTAGGAAGGTTAATAGAGGGTTTCTTGTACCTGGACACTGTACATTTTAATACAAGTATTCCTCAACTAACAGTCATTTGTTTAGTGACCGTTTGAAGTTATAGTTCAGGGGTCTTCAAACTTGGTCGTTTTATGACTTGTGGATTTTAACTCCCAGAGTTCCTCAGCCAGGCACGCTGGCTGAGGAATTCTGGGAGTTGAAGTCCACAAGTCATAAAAGGGCCAAGTTTGAAGACCCCTGTTATAGTTGCACGGGGAAAAAAGTGACTTATGACTGTTTTTCACACTTATGACTGTTACAGCATCCCACGGTCACATGATCAAAATTTGAATGCTTGGCAACTGGCATGTATTTATGACGGTTGTAGTGTCATGTGATCACCTTTTGCGAACTGCTGACAAAGTCCATGGGGAAGACAGATTCACTTATGAATCGTATTACTAACTTAAGAACTGCAGCAATTCACTTAACAACTATGGCATGTAAGGTCATAAAACAGAGCAAAACTCACTTAACAAATGTCTTGCTTAGCACTGGAAATGTTGAGCTCAGTTGTGATCGTATGTCAAGGGCTACCTGTATATAAACATTTCAAGCTGTCAAAACTGAAGGGAATAAGGACCTCTGATATCTTAGAGCCATTGTCTGATTATTTCTTTCTGAGCTGAAATTGTTAGCTAGAAATAACTGCCTGGTTTCCCTTTAACTAAACTGCCTTTGATCTGGGAAGAGAACACCCTGCAAAGCTAAGGCTCAGTTGCTCCCCTCCCCCTCTTTTCAGGTCAGATATAAACTGGTCCAATCCTGAAAGATAAAATAATAAAATCTGTCTCTAAATCTTATTTTCCCCCTGAGAAGTAAATTGCAGAGGAATTCTTTCTCTTTTTATTCCCTCAGCGAGAGCGAATAGAGCCCTATCAGTTGGCAATCGACCGGCCATCAGAAAAACTTCTGTGCTTCCTACGGAAACACTATAGCCTCAGTGACACAATCCCCCAGGTGAGCCATCTTCTTCAAAACAAAGGCAGCTCTCGCCTCGTAGTATTGTTTTGTCATCTGTGTGTTTGTACTTTGTTGTCCTTTTGAAGCAGGACCAGAAAAAAAACATACAACTTGGACATTCTGCTTACAAAAAGTACAAAATCCTCCAAGGTTAAGTGGACACCGTGCGTTTTTTGTAATGCTGATTTTCCACATTTTAAAGACATGAGCTGTGGAAAAAGGGATGCAACTGGTCAATAGCTTAATAAGGGGCAATGAAAATACTATACTGATTTTTCAGTTAACTATTTTAAAGAGGATTGCCATACAGTTTAATTGAACGCATTACGTAGAAGTGGCCTGAATCAAATGTTTGAAGGAGGTGAACCTGGATTTAAGAATTTCGTATTTTAATTACCATTTGAAAAAAATTAAAAGGCTGTACTGTGACCTACCAAAGCTTTTACAATACACATGCTGAGAATTTAACCCGGCATCTTCTGCATGCAGAGCATACGGCCTATCTCTGAACTCTGTCCTTTTCCTTTTAAAAATGTTTTTCTATCTAGTGAGGAGAAACAAATCTTCAAATTAATGGCAGGAAAAAACCCCAAGAATGGTTTAATTTCTGCTTCAGAGGACATTTGAAATGGATAGTGGAATCAGATTGGTTTATTTAACACTTTTATTTTTTATTTTTCTGTTTCAGGTGAATAATTTTGTAATTTTCCAGGGCTTTTTCAGCCACCAGCATGGTAAGTCAGTGATATAAATATCTGGCTATATCCGTTTGGCGTTGTCTCATCCTGCACAAAGTGTTTTAAACAAGGAGATTTCTGATTTCAGAGTTATGAAGACATACTGCAACAGCTGCTGGCTGTGTGGCCTAGCAATGCTGAAAGCCGATATCCAAAACATTTGCAAGGCACTAGATTGGGAGAAATTGGATTACATTGTTATCTTATAAACAGTGTATGCTATACAACAAATACGACCTATATAACAAATACGACCTATCTGAAAAAGGGGACGTAACATGCAAATCCACTATTCCATCAGTCAGGCTGCGCCCCAGTCTTGTGACTACACTTTGGGCACTCGGCTACACAGCCACATTTACGGCTATTTGCAACATCCTACAGTAGTCAACATGTTCAAATTCTTTTACAACCTTTACTACTTAATGGGCCCGCTCTATTGCAGCTGTCATTTGAGGACTAACTTCAGTATATTTATTTCTATTGCTGCATTAAGGTTTTCTCTTAAACTCTGATTTTGCAGCTGTTGGCTCTACCGTAATGAGGATGCAAATATGCAGCTTGTGAAAAATTAACTATAGCAGAAAATTTATCTGCCATATTCCTGTTTTTTTCATGAGATACAGTTGTACAGTTTTTAAATTTTTTGTATGAGCAGATCACTGATCATGGGAGTTTATTAGGTTCAGGATGGGGAAACCATGAATGATTTAAGCTGACAATAATGAATGGTTAGTCAAAATTAAACCTAACATAGTAAATTATTTCTTCTGTAGATCATGAATATCCTGCATTCCTTTCATAGCTTTTGTTTAATCATAGCATACTCATTCTTGGAAGCCATAAGTACTATCTTGGTCTGAAATAAAGACAAATAAGAATATGATTTAAACAGGCATCTAGTAGGTGACCTAATACCATACACATGATATCACCATACAAAGGATATAATTGTGTGCATGGTGCAAATTACATGTCATTTGTGTAATAATAGGATGATACACGTTATTACTAAGAATGGACTAAATGTCTCTTAAAATATTATATCATGTTCTCCCAGTCTTTGTTCAGTGTAGTCTTATATGAAAATACCATTTTGGATATAAAACCTGAAAACAAATGGACAAATACATCAACCAATAATGCAGCATCTAGACCAGGGGTAGACAACCTTGGCCTTTTTATGACTTGTGGACTTCAACTCCCAGAATTCCTGAGTCAGCATGGCTGACTCAGGAATTCTGGGAGTTGAAGTCCACAAGTCATAAAAGAGCCAAGGTTGCCTACCCCTGATCTAGACACTATAGCGCTCTCCCACATACAACCAAAAGTATGGATCCAGTTTTGTATGTAGACAATATCTTTGTCAAACTAAAAAGAAAAACTAGAGAAGACCACATGAAACAACACCTTTAAAGGAATAAAAATCCCAAGAGAAGAAGACAACAAGAAGGCACTATCCTTTCTAGATATCCTCATCAGCATAAAAAACAATGGCAAGTTAGAAATGCTTGTCTGTTGAAAAACAACCCACACCAACCAAGTGCTCCATTATCAAATTAACAGCCCAACTTCCCACAAGGGAGCTGGGTAAGAACATTAGTCAGATGAGTCCAGATGCATTGCAGCAGCCCAGAACACCAGAAAAAGGAAACAGAACTTCTACACAACATCTTCCAACAAAATGCACACCCGTGCAATTCTCAAAAAGTGCCTCGCCGCTCAACCCACTACAACACAAGCTATGAAAAGAATAGCATTGCCATAATCAAAAAAACATCTCAAAACAACCAACACACTATTACAGCTGCACAGTATCACTGTATCCTCTAGAACAGTGGTTCTCAACCTGTGGGTCGGGAACCCATTTGGGGTCGATCGACCATTTCACGGGGGTCGCCAAGCAAGGCTGTCCGCCATTTTTTTGTCCGCCATTTTTTTTGTCCGCCATTTTTTTCCCCTTTTCCGGCGGGTGCCTTACCTCCCTTGGGCTGGGCCAGCTGGTAGTCGGCCTGCTCCGTCTCTGCCGCTTGCCAGCTACGCCTCGGCCGGCGCAGGGGGCGGAACCACGCATGCGCGGCGCTCCTGGGCAGGGAAAGTCCTCGACTTACGACCAGTTGGGTAGTTCTCGACTTACGACCGGTTTAGTCCTCGACTTACGACCGGTTTAGTCCTCGACTTACAACCGGTTGGGGTCGCGGCATTAAAAAGGTTGAGAACCACTGCTCTAGAACGGGTCCCTAACCTTTTGGGCTTCACGGACCAGCAGGGGAGGAGATGGTTTTGTGTGCTCATTCCCATAAAATAAAACTTTATATGCTCGCCCACCACTCACACGGCCCATTGGAACCAGTCCATGGACTGGGGGGTTGGGGACCCCTACTCTAGAATTTGTCTTATCCCCTTTGACAAATAATCAAAAATAGCGCAAGGCAAAAACAGTTATAAGAGGCCTTTTATATTCTTTCTGCCTCAGCCTCAGAATTGTTCTGTCAATTAGCTTCAGGCTTTCGGTGCTTCAATAATTTTCAGTATCTAGCGATGTTGCATTAAATGAGTTCAATGTTCTGGTCAGGGGAGATCCTTCATTTAATGACAACTTGGTTTATTTTGCAGAATAAATTGCCTAGCTTGCGTGATGGAAATCTTTCAACGACTGTAACATTGTTTCTGTTCTTTCACTTAGCAACAAGGGTGGGCAACCTTGGCTCTTTTATGACTCGTGGACTTCAACTCCCAGAATTCCTGAGCCAGCCATGCTGAGGGCAAAGGGAGAGGTTTCCAAGCTGAGTCAGGCTCAGGAATTCTGGGAGTTGAAGTCCACAAGTCATAAAAGAGCCAAGGTTGCCTACCCCCCTGGCTTAGCTGTTCAGAATTAATGCTCTGCAATTTTAGACTCATTTATTGGGATCTGTCTTCTCATACCTCCACACAATTTTGAATGGCCGTTCTCCACAATGTGATCCTTGAAACATATTGTCTCATAATGGAAACTAATGTTTCTGGATGGTATTTTGGGCATTACTTTCCTACCGCAACCACAAATGCTCCTTTGTTTGTTTTTTACCCTCTTGTTGCAGCTCCAGCAAGAAAGCTGCCTCTCAAACGCCCCGAGGGAGACATAAAGCCATATTCGCTGTCAGATCGAGAATGTAAGCAGTGTTCATTCTTAACTGGAAAAAAATGGGTTTGAGCTTTTTGAGACAATTCAGGTAAATCGGCGCCTAAACTGAGCTGATGTTTAGATTACAGCTTTGTGGAAATGGTTCCTGTTTGGTTGCCTTCTCCCATTTTAGCAGCTTACTTGATCTACTTTTGGAGGTGGGGCCCCACTGAGTTCATAAGACAGAAGCCTAGTTCATAAGACAATGCAGGATTTTGTAAGGAGCCGGATAAAAACGACGATAAAATAGTTAAAAGTTAAAAGACGGGGTGGGGGGTGTTGAGAAGGCATCAGGGTGCCAACCACCCTCAGGATTCTGTGCTGCTCATTGTATCCCATGTGAGTTGGCAGATCCACATCTCCTTTGAAGGACTCGGGAGAGTGGGGGCCCACCTCGCCTCTGGGGAGGGAATGTTCCAAAGGGCAGGGGCAATGGCAGAGGAGGCTTTCTTCCTGGACCCCACCAATCAAAATTCTTTTAACTGGCCGGGTCTGTAACATACCCTCCCTGCCTGGCTGGGTGGGACGGGCTGGCGTGATGGGAATGAGATGGTTCCTTAGGTAGCCTGGCCTCAAGCCCTGTGGGGCTTTAAAAGTAATAATAATAATAATAATAATAATAATAATAATAATAATAATAATAATAATAATAGTAGTAGTAGTAGTAGTAGTAGTAGTAGTAGTAGTAGTAGTAAAGTTGGAAGGGACCTTGGAGGTCATCTAGTCTCTCTTTCATTAGTTTCCATCTGTTGCTTCTTGTCCTGCCTAACTAACTAACTAACTAACTAACTAACTAACTAACTAACTAACTAACTAACTAACTAACTAACTAACTAACACCTTGAATTGGATCCGGAAGTAAACCGGCACCCAATGCAGCTTAGGCAGCAAAAGTATTACCTGCACCATGCTTGAAGCGCCCCAAATTGCTCTCTTGGCCACATTCTGTTTCTGTTAGATGAAACAATCCAGATTGGGATGGGAATGTTATTTGGTGTCCAAAAGGTATCTAAAACTGCCTCCAGTTAGGAAGAATCTCAATCCTATATGTTGACTCTGCAGGAATCGGAGAGATCTGAATTGGCGTTTTCTAGGAAGAGCTGCTATCCGAAAACTAATTTGTAACATTTTGCCTAGACTTCGTTATCAACTTCGTTATCAATGTGCCAGCTTCAGATTTCTTTATTGTTCACCTACAGACAGAATCTTAATAATAATAATAATAATGATAATGATAATGATAATGATAATGATAATAACAATAACAATAACAATAACAATAATAATAATAATAATAATAATAATGTTGGAAGGGACCTTGGAGGTCATCTAGCCCAACCCTCTGCTCAGGCAGGAAACACTATACCATTTCAGACAAATGGCTGTCCAGTCTCTTCTTAAAAACTTCCAGTGTTGGAGCATTCACCGCTTCTGGAGGCAGGTTGTTCCACTGGTTAATTGTTCTCACTGTCAGGAAGTTTCTCCTTAGTTCTAGGTTGCTTCTTTCCTTTGATTAGTTTCCATCCGTTGCTTCTCGTCCTGCCTTCAGGCACTTTGGAGAATGGCTTGACTTCCTCTTCTTTGTGGCAGCCCCTGAGATATTGGAACACGGCTATCATGTCAGACGAAAGCAACTATTTGCATAACTATTAGATGCACTCTGTGAACTGCTAAAGAGGGTCTGCCTTCACTCTTTTCCTGCCTATCCGACATTCCAAACTCGACTGTCTCTTTGTCTTCTGAGAAGGAGCCCTTCCCTCTTGTGACCCTACACTATATTCTACCACAACTAATTAGACAGTAGACAGTAAGATATAGATTAGCAGACAGATCCTTCTTCTGTCTACTAGGTTATGTTAAGTCGGCTAAGTCTAAGTCTACTTAGTCAGTAATCTTATTTCTGTAAATTTCTGTGTGCTACTCTTCTATCTACTAGGTCAGGGGTCCTCAAACATGGCCCCTTTAAGACTTGTGGACTTCAACTCCCAGAATTCCCCAGCCAGCCATGCTGGCTGGGGAATTCTGGGAGTTGAAGTCCACAAGTCTTAAAGGGGCCATGTTTGAGGACCCCTGTACTAGGTTATATTAAGTCTGGTTAAGAACTGAACTGTATTTTCCCTTTTGTTTATTTTCTCTTTCTTGTAGTCTTGAAGGAAGAGACTGAGCCACCTTGGCCCTTCAACCAGTCTCGGGCACTGACCCGCTCTAGCAGTGTGGGGAATTCTCCAGTGCGAGGCTGCCTCAAACCTTTTCTCAACGAGCAAGAGTTGCTGAAGAACTTGCGTCTCTGTCCCCCACATGCAGCTGCCCAACATCTGATCAATGGTGATCCGGGCAACTTGCTTTCACAGAGGCGGAGAACCAGGTAGGAAGGGAGAAGCCTTCTGGAGAGTTCTAGTTTAACCTCACAGGGCTAATGGGGTGTTGCAACACTGATCCTCTAGTACAGTGGTTCTCAACCTTTTTAATGCCGCGACCCCCAACCGGTCATAAGTCGAGGACTAAACCGGTCGTAAGTCGAGGACTAAACCGGTCGTAAGTCAAGGACTACCCAACTGGTCATAAGTCGAGGATTTTCCCTGCCTGGGAGCGCCGCGCATGCATGGTTCCGCCCCCTGCGCCAGCCGAGGCGTAGCTGGCAAGCGGCAGAGATGGAGCAGGCCGACCACCAGCTGGCCCAGCCCAAGGGAGGTAAGGCACCCGCCGGAAAAGGGGAAAAAAATGGCGGACAAAAAAAATGGCGGACAGCCTTGCTTGGCGACCCCAGTGAAATGGTCGATCGACCCCAAATGGGGTCACGACCCATAGGTTGAGAACCGCTGCTCTAGTACAGGGGTCCCCAACCCCCAGTTCATGGACCAGCACTGGTCCGCAGCATGGCAGAAAATGGGCCGCACAAACAAGCAAAGTCCCATCCTCGGGCTGCAGGCAGGTAGACAAAACCATACCCCCTCCAGTCCAGTGGAAAAACCACTCTCCACGGAACCGGTTCCTAGTGCCCAAAAGGTCAGGGGCCACTGCTCTAGTAGACACATAAATGCTATGAACGCAAGGTGCATTCACTCCTTTTGCTTCCAGTCCCATACAGAAATCCTTCAACTCTAACTTAGAAGCACAAGGAGGAAGGATGAACTTTTAATGGCCAAATAACAGTTGAATTGTTTTTCCGGTTCAGTTTCTTCTTGTTGCCTAATGCAGAGGTCTCCAACCTTTCCGGGCTCGAGGACCGGAGGGAAGGAGAGCAGCTTCAAAATTGGTGTGCGTGCACGCGCATGTGCGCACGGGGCCACACACACTGGCGCAGCACGAGCAGCCCTGTTTGCACCTGCGCTGGCATCGTGCACATGCACGAATAGCCATCAAACCGCCCGGGCTAGCAATGCATGCACGAATGGGCTGCAGACACCGACCCTGTGCTAGCATTCCCGTTCACACCCACACGCCTGCGCAAACAGCCACGGGTGCGAGGGGGGAATGCGCACCCATGTGTGCACGCACCGGCCAGCCATTTCTGCAGTCCGCTGGCCAAGAGCCCACGGCCCGGTCTTGGGCCGCGGCCCGTAGGTTGGGGACCCCTGGCCTAATGTATCCCTACTATTGCTTAATAATCGTAATGTAGCTTCCTTTCCTGGAATCACAAGATCACAGCATAGTGGAAGCTTGATTGCTTAGGTCAGTGGTCCCCAACTTTTCCAGCTTTGCAAATCATTGGGGGGGGGGAGAAGGGATTGTTCAGTGCGAGCAGTGGGTGAACAAGCGCGTGCAGCTCCATTTGTATAATTGGTGGGCACGTGTGCCCGCCGTTCAGGCAAATGGTGCTGAGCGTGTATGCATGCGCTCACCCGCTGCTTGTGCAATTGGAGCCGTGCATGTGCATGCCTGCCACTTCTGCACCCCGGTTCCAAATAGGCTACAGCCCGGTACTGGGCCGCAGCCCGGGGTTGGGGACCCCTGGCTTAGGTAGTCCTGTGAACCAGGATGGCAGCAAAGATAATGGAGGACCACGGAGAATCTTTGGCTTAAAAGAAGTGAAATCAATGCCACCGAACCTCAGATCTCTCCATTTTCACTTTCTTTTATGATATTAAAAAAAAATGTTTAGCTGAAGTGAAAAGGGGAATGTACTGTGACTTATTCAATAAGTGTAACTTTTGAGCACAGAATTGGGACACGTCCTTGAACTCGTCGTCGTTCTGTACATCTTTCAGCTGTCTATGTTTGTTGCATTGCACGTGCCATTTTGCATGTTTTGTTATAATTCTTAGTGCATACTAAAAACTTTCCTTTACTATTTACATTCTGTCTGTGGTGGCTGTTAATGGTTTACTTAACCATGTGAAGACAGTGAAGGCCGGATGCCAACACTTTCCACTTGAACATATTCCAAGGATTTTTTTAAACAGATTTAGAAGGCTTGTTCGGCAATGGGCCTGCAGTGGCATGCTGTAATGCAGGGGTGTCAAACTGCCGGCCCGCAGGCCGGATGCGTCATGGCGAAACCGCGCCCACCCCGTTGCCGGCAATGGGGAAAAAAGTCATGATACGTCGTGACACGTTACGGCGCGTTGCGAGTTTGACACCCCTGCTGTAATGGCTTTAATGCTGGGAAGAAGCATATTAGACTTTGGAAGATGTGAAAGGCTCTTTAGAAGAAATACTTTCACCAAAGTCCAAGTTGGCATCCTTCAGATGTTACCCAGTTTGGTAACGAAACGTTCAGAAATTATATTGAAACAAGCTTGGAGAACAAACCACAGCCAAAATCCTTCAGAAGTGTTAGACTTCAGATGTTTTTCATAATCCTCAGTCATAGGAACATTTGGCTGCTTTGGCTGAGAATGATGGGACATGTCAACCCATGTTTTGGGAGGATGCCAAATTGCAAATATATTTCCTTGTTGCATTTGCCAAATCCAGGATTGGAAATCACTTGTGTATTTGTCTTAATATGCAATACCAGCTTGAAACTGGCCGTTTTGGTGACCCAGATTTATTAATCTGTTTAAACAAAGCCTATTTTAACAGAGTGACCTAAATCTGTTTCCATGTGATTTTTTTTTGTTTTTAGTGCAGTTGCTTCTCTTGAGAACCACTGACTTCATTCACACATTGCTCATGGCTTAAGTTTGGCTTATTGAATAAACTATAATTGACTGTGTTTACACAACGCACTGAGCTGTAATCGAGCAAACTTCTGAACACAATGTATGAATCCTGCTATTTTCTTTGCATTTCGGCCTTTGTTATTGCTTCTCTAAATTGCCATATAAATGAGAGTGCTTCAAGAGTAGAATAGGCAAAACCAGATAAGATTAGTGATCTAAGATATCAGAACCAACTATCAAATCGACTCTTTTTGTGACTATTGCTATCACTAAAGTACAGGCAGTCCTTGACTTATGACTGGTTATCTAATTACCGTTCGGAGTTAACGACAACCTTGGAAAGAAGGCTACACAGTGCATAGAGTACTTGTGACTGTTGTAAAATGTCACCCCCACAGTCAAGTGATCGCAGTTCTAGTGCTTGGCAGCTGTCTCACATTTACAGCCGGTTGCAGGATCACATGACCACAACTTGCAAATTTTTTTGCTGGAAAAATGCCCATTCAGAGAGAATGGATTTGGACTTAACGTTATGATTCATTTAACGACCGCAGCAAACACAGTTGTAATAATGGATCAGGTCACGTGGTTGCCTCGATTTGACAACCGTCTTGACTTAACGATCAAAATTCCTGTCCCAATTGAGGTCGTACATTGAGGACTACCTGTGTAGTAATACTCCAGCCTCAAGGGTATACAGGTGGTCCTCGACTTAGGACCACAATTGAGCCCAAAATTTCTGTTGCTAAGCAAGACAATTATTAAGTCAGTTCTGCCCCCTTTTAAGACCTTTCTTGTCACAGTTGTTAAGTGAATCACTGCAGTTGTTAGTAACCCGGTTGTTAAGTGAATCTGGCTTCCCCGTTGATTTTGTTTGTCAGAAGGTCGCAAAAGATGATCGCATCACACACACACACACACACAGGGACACTGCAACCATCATAAACATGAGCCAGTTGCCAAGCATCTGAATTTTCATAATATGGTCACGGGGACCGTGCAAAGGTTGTTAAGTGTGAAAAACAGCCATAAGTCACTTTTTCCAGTGCGTAACTTCAAACAGACACTAAATGAACGGTTGTAAGTTGAGGACTATCTGTAATGATTCCATAATCTATAGGTAATGTCATTCTTCTCAGCAGAGAAATGATTATCTTTATTTGGTGATGCTTTTCTTCAGTTCTGAGATCTAACCTGTCTCCTTTTTTCTTTCTAATATCCACACCCCCTTCCTTCCTTTTCTCTCTCTCTCTCCCGCCCCACCCTCTGCCAGCTCCTTGAATCGCTCTGAAAACAGCCATTGATCGCCGGGTCTCTGCTTTGTCTCCCCAACCATTGGGCCTCTCTACTTGTGTCTCGAGCACTTTTTAGCCGCAAGATTTGATTTTCATCTAGTTTGTTCATCCTCTTCTTTTTAATAAGCTTTATGGGTACAGCCTGTATAAGGATGGGCATAAGCCTATAAGGAAGTGGGTTTATTTATATAACATATAATGCGTGTATAGGTTTCCCTTTTTTTAATATCACAATTGCAAAAGTGCTTAAAGAAAAGGAACGTAATTGCAGTTTGGAAGAGCAGATTCTCCTACTTGATTATTTGCCTTTTAGATCCAGCTATTTATGAAGATATATGCTTTAGTTCCAAAATGTTTTAAGTTTACAGCTGGGAAATGATCAGGGCTGACTCATTATCCAGCATTACAATAACATAAACTGATGCCTGCGACGGCTTGGATTGTGCCAATCCACGCCCTATGACTAACTTAATTTAATTTAATCTAAATTAGGTTAAATTAGAAGGCACCCAAGTCCGGATGATTCTGGGTGCCTTAGATTAAAACGAAAGAGCGAGAACAATAAAAAATGAAACAGATCACAAATGCCCAGAAGTAAAATCTGGAACCCAAAGAAGACGAGGATAAATTAGTTGCCAGCCATAAATGATTGTTGAACTACATAAGGATTCTCTTTTTGGGGGGCCTGGTAGCCAATGGGATAGTCTCTTATACTGTACAGGATGTGAGCCAGACGGTTTTTACAGGAAAGGTTTAATTAGTACCGATATTATTAACTACTCTGTGGGTGAGGGCCAATTCTAGTGTTGGCTTTAGAACTTGAAGATAATGTATGTTGTTCTTTCAGAGAGTTGAATGTGAGTCAGTAGAGGCTTTGGTACATGTATTGTTGTTTCTAGTAAATGGTTTCAGAGAGTTTGTGGCAGTTCAGGAACCTGCCTGTGTTTACCTGAGTGTTAATAGAA